TTTCTAAAGATTTCTACCAAACATTTTTATTTTCAAAATAAAGTATATAAACTTACGATGTTGATTGTAATCAACAGGTTGTGTGATAGAGGCCGGTGCRTCAAGGTTACCTTACGGTGGGCGACAAGTTACCGATATGTTAGCTAGRTTGCTGACAGAAAAAGGMCACAGGTACATTTATATTTCTGTTTGTTGTTCAATCAGAGGTAACAGTAGTATTCCTTTATATTTTGCGCKYGTGGTTTGTTAACAAAATGAAATGATGGGTTATTGCTTTCCGGTCCTGAAAATCGTYAATCTTATAGCTTTGATAGCTAACATCTGAAAATGATTGTTGTCTTTCCAATTTTCTCAATATTACTCATGGTGTTATAAATATTTTGTATTTGAGTGTGAGRAAATCTCCAGTTTGACATCGGCCGTTTCAAGAACACATTTTCAACCATTTATTTTGTTTTTCAAATGCACTTTGAGACTTTTATKTTTTGTTTTAGTSAAATCTGTACAAAAGAGACGAAATTGAAGTCTCCATGATTGCAAGTACTAAATGAACGTTGAAAGCCATTACCTAGTTCAAAATCTCACAGAAAAATCAGTGCAATCATAGTTAGTACTAACTATGGTGCAATTACGAAGTATATAACAAGGAGATGAAAACGCTTTTGAAGAAAAATAGTTAAAGTGTTTTTTATTCAACTAGAGAAGTGTAGAAAATATGTGATTTCTCAAGCCACACTTGATTTCAGCACAAATATGGGGATTGTTTTCTAARAGGAAAACTACAAAACACGCGAGTTGACAYAAGCGAGCTCGAATTTTTGTGATACACAAAAAAAACGTGGCTAGAACTCGCAGATTTTCTTGTCAACAGACGTCAAATTGTAGATTCAGTGAATTGCCGTAGAAACTACTTAGACTATAAGGGAAAAGAAGATGGCAAATTATAGCAAATTAAAATCGTGATTTTTATCGCAACTTTATRAAAATATCACATTCACAAACCTCTGGATGAGAAGAAAGCACCCATTTAAAAAATCTGAAGATTGTATTCGTTTGATTTTGGTTTTGAACGTCTCTCTCGGTGATCTTGTCACAGTAAGACGGAGAGATCTGACAAAGCAATGAGGCTTTTATTCCMAAAAAAATGACGTGAACTTGTTGGGAAAATTCCTGAAAGTCGTATTTACGGCAGTGAGACTTTAAAATAATTCCTACTAACCCATTACTGTAAATGTGCAACTGAAAATTTTGAGAGTACGTTATCAACCAAAAATTAATCCGGGTGAGCTCTTTCCCACCATTGATCTTCACTCGTAAGACACTTAAACATGTGATGACGTCATGCAAAAAAACGATAATTGTCAAACTCATTATTAAATGTGGTAAGTAGCCAACGCGGCGTTGAAAGATAAGGGACTCAAGGTAATGCATAGAGACCGTTGAAATTTGAAGAAAGGCGTTGAGTCCCTTATCTTTCAATCATGCGTGCGTTATCGCTCTTTTTGATCACCTTTCGTTTCTGTATGTTTTCATTATAGATTCTTCTCTGAGGTAGAATCCTACATAACAAGGTATATCAAGGAGCAGTGCTGTTATGTATCAGAAAAAGAAATCTGTCATGAAAATGATGTACCAAACTATTCTACAGACATCATGTTGGATAAGTACAAGATTCCCGACGGAACGAGGTATGTTTTCAGTTTCGTATTATTTGAAATCGAAAAGTCAATGCCTGTGTACCCGCATTTCTCATAACATTGCAAATTTCAAACACTAATTTATTGAAGAACYGTTATCGTACAAAGAAAAAATGGCGTGTTATTTAAAAGTTGCWCAAAAATCACCGTTTCGATATACTTTTTGGTTTCCCAAAATKCGCAATCTGAATTGGCTGCTATCAATGAACCATTTGCACATGGGTTGCACTCTCACGTCAGATTTTCTCCCGAAAAGTGAAAAAGAGGAGTTATTTTTAAACTTATGAAAAGTATATCATGAAAAAAATAGTTCATAGAAAGCGTGCATCATCGAGTTTTAGTATAAACATATTAATAGTCTATCACTCATACTGCGCTGTGATTGCGCTGTTATTGGCTACTCTAGTAATGGTCTAATTTGTGATAGACCACTCGCGGGAAAATCAATCTCATTAATAAATTGTTTTAAGGAAGTTTCAATTTGTTCTCATTATTTGACCAATTAGTATTTTTATCGCGGACTCGGCCTCATGGGCTATTAGCTCGTAGTCCACTCGACCTCGTGGTCTAATTGTTAAATGGATGCACTTGACTCGATGGATGCACTCTTCCCATGAAATATTTCTTAAAAGGTATATGTATATAAAAAGTTGTCGGATAGCACTTCGAACGGCTATAGTCGAAGGGAGATTGCATAACCAAAAGGGTCTTTGGTTTTTCATGCACAATTTCACAATTACGAGTGGGCTCACGATGAGAGTAAATGTAAACTAAAGTAAGTCAATGTCAACCACAGACCTCTGCTATTATTTCCCATCAAGTAGCAAGAAYCATGACTTCATCTGTTGCGAGATCTCCGTTCAATAATTGCCAATTAGACAACCTTTTTTGAAATACGTATATATCACAATTTCTTTTGTTAGAAAAGTCACTGTTGATACCGCGAGATATCGCTGCACAGAAGGMCTATTTGAACCTATAGTTTGGGGMAAGGATCATCCGGGTGTTTCTGATTTAGTGTACAAGGCAATWATGGCTTGCAGTATTGATGTCCGTAAACATATGGCTCGTAGTATCTATCTTAGTGGTGGAGGGTCCATGTTGCCAGGTATGTCCACTTAATCATCGTATCATTATTTAACAATTATTATTGATAATCACTGAGCCTGAGGTGAATAATTGTTTTAGTATAATTTCATAAGTGAATATTCATAAAAATAGAGAAAAAAGAACTACTGCATTTTCGTAAAATGTTATGTGGCGGCAGAGTAAGTAGAGGCGGGTGGCGGGGATTGAAGATGGCGGTCGAGGGCCGCTCGTATTAACAGCAAAGTCGTCTTCTTGTAATAATTGCCATCTTTCTTTCTTATGGACACGTAAAACTTTGATAGACACTCGTTTAATTCACTAATATCCATGTCTTCAAAGCTGACAGTGAATTCAGACTGTTGTTGAAACCATTCTGTCAAAAAATGTATCGAGTAAAATGTAAACAAACCAGGCGAAAACCTACAAATTTCAGCCTGTTTGACGTAAAACGATAGATAAAAAAGTAGTTTTAGACAATGTTTTTATTATTAAATAAACAAAACTTACCTGTAAAAAGGTTTAATCCAATTTTTTTAATCCAATTGTTTAATCCAACGACTCGCGGACGACGCCATTTTGCGAAAAAATCCAATATTCACCTATAGGTGAACATCGCTCATTGAAGCGTCAAATTCGACCAATCAGCGCGCTAGAATTATGATATTCACTTATGAAATTATACTAATGTTGCTTATAGTAGATTATATACAGATTTTTGAGGAGAAAGTTAGGCCCTGTCGGGGAAGGGTACCCCATGCATCCCGCAAGGCTAGCTGCGTGTCTGGCAAAATACCCTATCGTTTGACATAGATATCGATGAAATGTCATATTCTCTCTAATGCTGAACTCCTAGTGA